GAGGTTTTTTTTAAGGGGGAAAGTGTACAAACTAATCTACCCATGACAAAGCAATTTTCTCACTGTACTAGTAGTCCCATCAGCCACAGAGAGCATGTAAACAGTAATGGTAACTAAGATATGCAAATGTCTTAATTAAAATGGGCTATACATTTAATAAATCAACAGATCACAATGTTTTTCTCATTTTTGTCAGTATACATATTTCCTTTTTTTATTTTGCTAATTTAATGGCACACAAAATACTGGCAAAGGTAATTACTATTCAGGGTCATCTTACCTTAACTGACCAAAAGTCAAAGGATAGGAGGAGGAGAATAGTGACAAAGCAGGCAACAAAGCTGTTGCTGAACCAGTCACAGAACAAGTAGGTAATGATAGCACTCACTCGGAAAAACAGGTGGAAAAAAGTGGCCAAAGGGTGCCTAGAAAAGAAAAAAAAAACCAAACACAAAACACAGAGTGCTTAGGAAGTTACAGGACAAGAAGGAATGTTACAGTATTTGCTAACAAGGTCGTGTAACAACTATTTCTAGTCTATAACAGTAGTTTAGTTTGTATCTTCTATTATTATACATATTGACGTATATCTTAATTATCAAAGGAATAGTATTTCCAATAGCCAACCTTCAATCTAAGGTAAAAGATGGAATGTGTTGTTTATGTTAAAACTGTCTCAAAGATAGAACAAAATCTAGAGTCTTTCACCAGCTTCTTTGGTACTGCCTGAAGGAATTTAGTGGTTGTGTTCAATACTACCCTAAAATCCTCATTGTTTCATAAAATAAATCTGCATCGCTAGACACAAAAGAATTGTGATAGATCTTACCCCTTCCAGAACTGTTTTGAAAACAAGAACAGGAACTCTCAAACTAAAAAAACTATAGCTGTAGGGTGTAAGACAAATGAGCCTTGATATGTAATATCTGAAACCAAACACTTCCTTTTACAGAGGGAGTATTATTTCGAAATATAACAGTTCTTATGAATGAATGTTCATTAATTTCATTAGATATTTGCGCTTTGCTCATCAAGCAAAATTTTGTCTGTAACGAAATAAAGAGGAATTTCAGTGGAAGAAGTAACTACATGGCATGGGATATTGACCTGTACAGTAAGGGGGGTTGGAGAATGCAATAAGGAGCACAGTACAATTTTCAGGGTAATATGCCAAGTACAGAAACTTATTCTGCACAGTTGTTTGTGTTAATTGGTTTAAAGCAGCAATTAATTAGAGGCTATTGCATTTAAGTAACTTCTTCCCTTGAAGCTGAGTGAATAAAACTTGTTTTCTAAGATATTTGGTTTTTAAGTCAGCGGTTATCTCATTAAGCTCCTCTACGTCTGTAAACAATTAACAGTAGTATGGCCTAGCTCATAATTAACTATTCAACTATTAAATTTGTTATTCTATTATTGTGTATAAAAAATGCCACATACACTAGTATAAACTTAAATTATAATTATATTTAAGTTATAGTAGTTATTTATATCTTTATGGTAATATTCTATAGCTGTTTAGCTGTCCTAGTAATGATCTATTCTATAATGGCAATATTGTGCCACATGACTGGAGAAGAAGCAAGAATGACACAAAGCTGTAGCTTTTATTTACTCTGGGTCATACCCATGCTAACCTTAAACTTTCCAAAACCTTCTTCTGACTTAAAACTAAACACATGACATTTTAAGCAAAAGCTTTTTCTGCCATAAGCAGATGGTGGGTGGAGCGGAGAGAATATTGTGAACTGTCAAAACCAGCTAGTGTCTTGCCACGGCTGGTCTTCAGCTTGGACCAGAAGACCTAAGAGTCCATCACGTAAGTGGTATCTTGTGCCAATACGAGCTATTCACAGGCCACAATTCCAGCACGGGTCAGGGTGGACCAAGCTTTTATAACTGTATCAGCACTTCACATGTGAAAGTAACTGGAGAAGTGCTCCATTTTGGAAGTCAGATGATGAATTACTGTTTGGATGCTGAATTTGTTCCAACATCAAACTCTGAAGGGTGTTTACTAAAAAACACAGTACACGAGCAAGAGTTTCGTATGTATTACAGCGCTAAACACTTTGAGACTATGGAATATTAGTCCTCCCACAAGGACATGGCTAGCCAAGACAAAGACAGATTTGCAGGTTCTTGTCCTAGGGGAGGAATATGGAGATATAGCAAAACTTGCACCTGATTCTTCAGACAACTCTCAGCCACAGAAAACATCCACCTATTTATGCTTTTAAAAAAAACTTTAAAATCCTGAAACTAGCTGAGTCCAGTAAATAAAGTGCCCACTTCCTCACTTAACAGAACAAACGTCTTCTTAATTTACAGTCATCAGATGAAACTTATAGCTTCTATCACAAACAGAATTTTGAATGAGATAATCCCAGATAAAATTCTCTTAAAACCTGATGCTAAACCACCTGCATCCTTTTTGAAACAAAAGGCTTCACAGCTTTTCTGAAGTGAATGCACTTCTACTGAATTCAATTGTACTTTATAAAATGTTTAAAAAGCTGATTTCCAGAAATATGATGGCATTAAGAAATCATTGTATAAACTGACATGATTTCTTCTACTAATGGAAGACAGTATAGACTTTAAAACATGGTAACTTCCTTCTTTTCTTTCCTTTTTTATTTTTTTCCTTGCCTTCAAATCCAACAAAGGATAAAAGTACCTAAAATTGCACTGGCTCTGCTTGGCATACGATGGCTCCTGAAAGTATAGCAGTTCACCTGCTTGGGCTTTCAGTCATCCTGTTGTATTTAGACATCCATATAGTGGACCCTTGAGGCTGAATGATTACCATTTATCTTGTTACAATAACCTCCATTCACTTTGCAAGCATGATGCCTATTAGGATAGGAATTAGCTGTTACGACTTCAGGTGCATCCCATATTAACAAATCAAATTGGGTCAACATACCCCTGAACTACAGGAGAATCATTCCTAGCACCTGCTCTGAAGTGCCACAGCAGCACTCTGCATGCTGCTTTTTATACCTCTGTCTGGAACTTCAAATACGTCTAGGCAAATTTTCAACTAAGAGACTCCCTGGCTTGATCATCTTGTGTTACCTGGATGATTTGAAAAAGCAACCCTATGTGCCTAACTGTTCCAGATCAGATGTTCTGCTACTGCAACAAACTGCAGAGACAGCGTAAGTTACCTTTTTCCTAACCTTCTTATGAAAGTAGCCACTAACGACATCGGTATCTGCACACCTTTGCTTATAAGGAGTACTTGTGTACACCCTGGAGAATCACAAAAGCACAACCTGTCATAGCTTACGCAAATTCTCCCCAGGTTCAAGGTGCATGAAACTGGGATAAGGACTGGAATATGTTGCTACGCCTTCTAAAAAGACAACAAAATTTTGCAGCACATGGGTGTGTTCCAGGCTTGTTTGCACAAGATTCTTCAGAAATATAAAAACAAACTTCTGTGTGAACAACGTAAGAAGTTTCATTTCTGTATTCTGTTGCAGAAGATGTTTTCAGAATGAGGTTATCCTTTAGTGTTGTTCCAGTGAGGGCACAAAAGAGCAGTCTCTAATGAAGTAAGTATCTACACAAAGTGGATCAATTAATAGTATGGTTTACAGATACTTTGCCTGTCTATTAGCAGGTAGCATAAACAAGTAGGAACAGATCTCTAGAGTAAAATAACTGGTGCTGTGGTCCTCCTACAAACATTTCAGCGTGGTTTCACTTCATGCTAACTCTGGTCCCAGACTGAATCTGTGGGTCATGTGCTCAAGACACACTCCTAAGCTGTATTCCTCAGTTTAGTTTAATCCTTTATGCTATGCTTTACTAGACTGCACCAAAATATCCACCTTCATTTAAAACGTGTGCTGCTGCTAAAGCACAGAAACAAAGCAATTATGGGAATGTTAATCTTGCATCATGGCTGACTCATTATGTAGCTGCAAAGTCCAACACACTGGAAGGGCAGAAATGCTTCACCAACCACTAGCAAAACAGAGTAATTTTGTGGTAAAGTTAGGTGATTGCTTGTTTGTGCATCTTGGATAACAACTCGTGTTAGGTGTAACATCTCTTATTTTTCTTTGTTTAAGCGTACAAGAAATACTAACATTGTCATGAACCAGAGTCAACTGAAGCAAGGTGTAAGGGAAGAAAGCAATATAAATCAAAGCCGATTATAGACACTGTTGACAAGGGCATGCATATGTGTAAGTCCTTTTGACATAAAACTTTTCCCTTGACAGTCTTTGACCGGAGATTCTTCAAAGGCCACTGATGGAACAACAGTTCTGTCACCTGGGACCTCGATATGGACAGAGCTGCAGTGACACCTCTGGTAATGTAATGGTAGATGGGTGAACCGGCTGAACGTGACAGATGAGATGGATCAATGAGCTGCATTTTCTTAGGTAACAGCTACGAGGATAAGATATGCTTTATTCCACATAACGTCACATCCCATGGTAGGAAAACATGGCAGGTTTATTGCAAATAAGTTGCTC